TGTTCAAGAACTCAAAAGCTGAGTGATGGATGGAGAGCTCCCAAGGCAGACTGGGAAAGAAATCCTGAGGCCACAGGGCAGAGAAAGTCGGTTTCCTGTAAATATGCTTTGTTCGAGTTGGGGAGGCCAAGGCCATAGAACGCTCTGCTTGCTTACTTGTTCAAATTATTTTGTGTTGTGTGAATAAGTAACAGTACAGCTGATTTACAACGAAGTGGCACCCTGTGCCTGGCTGCCAGCTCTCCTCAGTGGCAAGGGTTACCAGTGTCGTGTACGTCTCTTTAGAAAGAGTTTTTCTTTGACTTTAGAACAAAACAAAACAACATACCATAGTGTACTCATTGCATTACGTCTTCTTTTTTATGCCCCTGCCCCCTTAACAGGGTCTCACTGTCCCCCTGGCTAGTCTGGAATCTGCTATGTAGACCATGTTGGCCTTGAACTCGCAGAGATCTGCCTGCCTCCACCTCTCTGGTGCTGGGATGAAAGGCAAGCAACTAGACTAATAGATCACCTGTTTCTTTCTTTCTTTCTTTCTTTTCTTTTTTTTCTCTTTTTTTTTTTGGTTTTACGAGACAGGGTTTCTCTGTATTGTTTTTGAGGCTGTTGGTCTAGCCCGGCCTCGAACTCACAGAGATCCGCCTGCCCCTGCCTCCCCAGTGCTGGGATTAAAGGCGTGCGCCACCACTGCCCTGGTAGATCACCTGTTTCTATGGCCCATCATTAATTCCCCTCCAGACAAAGCTTCATGTGAGTCTGGTTAGATTCAAACTCATTATGTAGTTGAGGATGGCCTTGAACTTCTGATCCTCCTACTGCCACATCCCGAATGCTGGGATTACAGGCATGCACTACCACAGCTGGTCTAAGTGGCAAGGGGAACTGAACCCAGGGCTTCGGATGTGCCAGGCAATCCCTCTGCCAACTGAACTGCATCTCCAGTGTGTTTCCTGTTTAAAAACAGTAAGATTCCACTGCAGGATGCCATGCCCACTTATTTTTTTTCTTTGAGATAGAGTCTCATGTGCTGCCCATTCTGGCCCTGACCTCATGGTACTCCTCTGTCTCAGTCTTGCGAGTGCTGGAGTAACAGGTATATATGTCACCACGCCCAGTTTATATTTTCTTTTAATACCTAAAAGCCTTTTTTTAAAAATGTGTGTGGGTTTTTGTCTGTCTGTATGTCTGAGAACCATGTGTGCCTGTTGCCATGGAGATGGGAAGAGGGTGTCCGCTCCCCAGGACCTGGAGTAAAGGAAGGCTCTGAGCTGCCATGTGGGTGCTAGGGTTTGGACCTGGGTCCTCTGGAAGAGCAGTCAATGCTCTGAAACACTGAGCCATCCCTTCAACCCCAGATCTTACTTTTTCAAAACTTAATACTTTATCATGATCTGAGCATAGTGGGGCATGCCTTTAATTCTAGTACTTGGGGAGGCTGAGGCAGGTGAATTTCTGTGAATTCAAGGCCAGCCTGGTCCATAGATTGAGTTCAAGGACAGTCAGGACTAGACTATACAGAGAGACCCTCTCTCAAAAAACAAAACAAACAATACAAGATCATTGTTAGCTATGTGTCAAAGCCATCTAGGGTGCATGAGACCCGGTAACAAAAGGAAAAGAAAAGGAAAACAAATGTCGTTGTGGAGATCAGCAGTTAAGAGCACTGGCTGCCCTGGGGTCTCTTCCTGAGGACCAGGTCTGGCTCCCACGTGGTAGCTCACACCCATCTCTACTTGCAGGAATCCGATACCCTACTCTGGACTCCTTGTGCAGTGTGCCATGTAATACACAGTGATCATGCACACAAGACACCCCCCCCCCACAAAATAATAAAATCTGCACTCCAGTGCAGGCCCCAGGCCCAGGAGTAATTGGCCAACGCAAGATGAACTCCATGGTAAAACAGAAATTATCACTGAAGGTCATTGAGGTTACGGTGCCTGTTGCCAGGCCTGATGACCTGAGTTTGGTCCCCCAGAAAAAAAGAATTCCTGTAATTCGTTCTCTGACCTCCACGTGCCCCCTCTCCCAGTTAATAAATAAATGTAAAAACAATAGATTAAGAATTTAGCATTGCTGGTAAATTTACACCTTTAATCACAGCATTCAGGAGGCAGAGATAGGTGGATCTCTGTGAGTTTGAGGCCATACTTGTTTACACATCAGTTCTGGGACAGCCAGGACTGTTTCACAGAGAAACTCTGCTTCAAAAAAACCAATAAATAAATAAGTAAATAATAAAAAAGAATTTACCATAAAGATTTCTTCATATGATATAACATATGTATATTATATATGTATATACATATTAAGACATATACTATATAAAAGAATATAATGTTCTTTTGTAGTCTTTAATGATGCCATAATGTTTTATAGTCTAAATAAGTTATAATTTCTTTAGCCAGGCCTCAATTTCTGGATAATTAAGTGATTTTTCAGTGTTTCCATGCAGTAACCAATAATTGCACATTAATCATTCATCTTTGTACAAGTTGCTTTTTTCCTCCCTGAGACAGGGCTTCTCTGTGCAGCCCTGGATATCCCAGAACTCGATCTGTAGACCACACTGGCCTCAAACTTACAGGGATCTACCTGCCTTTGCCTCTTGAATGCTGGGTATAAAGGTGTGCGACACCACTGCCTGCCTGTACAAGTTGATGTATACCTTCCTACCAAACCTGAGGGCTTTTTTATTTTTACATCCTTGCTAACACAATAATTCATAAAACTTTGAACTTAAGTTTTGACCAAAGGCATTAAGAGTTCTTTCTTGCTGGGCGTTGGTGGCGCACACCTTTAATCCCAGCACTCGGGTGGCAGAGGCAGGCGGATCTCTGTGAGTTCAAGACCAGCCTGGTCTACAAGAGCTAGTTCCAGGACAGCCTCCAAAGCCACAGAGAAATCCTGGGGGGGGGATAGTTCCTTCTTTTTATTTAATTCCCTTAACCAACGACAACAACAACCATATGCTGGGGAGCTTCAGCGTGGATCATCTTACTTCATTTGCATGCAAAAGTAGCCTGACTGTTTCTTTTTGATGTTGTTTTTTTGTTGGGTGAAGCTGAAGGTCTGGGAAAATTTGACAAAATCTATACAAGGGGAAAAAAATGACCTAGCTGCAAAAGGAACCAACTGTGATTATTAGCTTCCTCCGCATCAAAAACCCAGGGCTTTTTATCAGCACAAAGGAAGACTTTGCATTTATGTATTTATTGACAGGGAGCGCTGACAATCTCTGTGGCCAGAAGAGGGCAGCACATCCCCACAGAGAGTCTGGGAGCCGCCACCAGCTGACTCAAGGTACTCAGGCAGGGACTTGGGACCACATTTGCCTGAGTGCCAACCAATGCTGTCACTTCCTCTGCCTGGGCTCAGGACTGGTGAGACTGAGGAACAAAGCTTGCCTAAAAGACCAAGATAAACTGAAGAACCCAATGCCAGCTAAGTGCAGGACAGCATAGAATTCAGAAAGTAGAGAACGGTGATCACAAACATCATTAAATAGAAGGGAATTTTGATTAAATTGCAGGCACTGTTTGTACAATAAAGCACAGAAAGCATACTTTATTGTATTTATACCTTATTTCACACCCATTTCGCTAACAACTGACAAGAACATCAAATAACTAAGCTCTATATTTAATCCTGTATTTCCCTAAAAGATTTACTGTTTTAAGTTAAAATGCAAACTAACCTCTCTTAATATTAGTCCACCATTGAGTGCTAGGTGTAGAGGACATAGTCTCTGCACCCCTGCCCCCACTCCCCATGTCCTGGGATTGAACCCAGGGCCATGCAAGCTACATGCTGGGCTGATGGTCTGCACTGAGCTGTATCCCCAGCCCTTCTATTCCCTTTTTGAGACAGGGTCTTAATAAGTTTTCAGGCTAGCATCACCCTCACAATCCTCCTGCCTTTACCTCCTCTCCCCCTCCCTCCTTCCTTCCCTCCTTCTCTCTCTTTCTCCTACCCGACCCCCCCCCACAAAACTGGGGATTGAACCCAGGGCCTTGTACATTCTGTGTGAGTACCATTGAGCTATATCATCTACCCTGGTCCCTGTCCTTTTCAGCAAAGCAGAAGTAATTTGGAACTTGGGTCAGGAAACTTTGTAACTTGAGAGGTGGCATCATAACTGGCTCAGTGGCTGTGGCCAAGTTTCTTCACATCTCTGTGCCTCTGAATAAAAATGATAACGATGCCGTCTGTGTTACCGACCTCACCGATACACAAATAAAATGCCACATGAGGTTCTGGCCAGATGGTTCAGTGGGCAAAAGGTGCTTACCACCAAGCCTGATGAATTGCGTTCAGATCCTCAAACTTCCATGGTAGGAAGAGAATGGACTTCTGCAAGTTCTCCTCTGACCTTCACACGTGTGCTCTGGCACGTGTAGGCTCTCCTCCCCAATACAAAACAAACGGCAGGGAGAAAAAGGAAAAAGAAAAGAAACACCACATGCGATGATGCTTGGGGGAAAGGAGCTGGAAGAGCCATAGAACAATGCCCATGGTGACAGCACGGGCAGCTTGGTGCAGTCCTGTGTGGGCAAGCACCCTGCTACATGTCAGAATTAGTTCAGTTAGGGCTGCATCCCCCGCACACAGGTAATGTACTCGGTCAGGCAGGCTTCTAGGACCTGGCAGAGCAGGCTTTAAACCCCGCTGGACCTGAGTGTGGCATCAGTCTAGCTCGGTAGCATTCCTTTCAGTGGCACATATAGGAATTGTATGTCTTGCCATATAGCTTTACTCAGAATGTCAGGTTACAGAGCTGTAGTCCTTAGTGTTCTGGAGGCTGAGGCAGAAGCATTTAGAGTTTGAGGCCAGCCTGAGCCACACAGTGACTGTCAAACAGCAGGCAATTTCAGGAAAACTAACCTTAGTTATGACGTCTTACACACACACACATCAATACATCAATTAATCAGTTTCCAAATCACCCCCATGCAATGTAAAATGTAAATTGGACGTGTGTCTTAAGAACAACTCTGAGATAACTGTAAGATTCTCTTCAGTGCAGTGACTTGGGCTATCACAGGCTAATAAGAAACCAAACTGTGGGAAGCCGGAAGAGCAGGAAGAACAGACTCATAAACAAAGTCAGAGTAGCTTCTAGAAGGAGTTGTGTGCTTCTACCTTTAAGGGTCAGGAGGGGCAGAATGGACTTCTGCTTCCGGGTACACTGAAGTTCTGGTCATACTACATCTTCTGGGAAGATGGGCAAAGGGATCGGCTCAGAATTCTGTGTGTCTTCAGCTGTGGAGGGGACGGGTCCAGGTGGAGGTCCTGCACCCCTGACCAGTGGTGAGCCTTCGCTCAGCTTCATGCTTCCGTCGAATCACAGAGATCTAGGGAAGATCACTTTCTGTTTCCTGCTACCCGGGCAGGTAGCAAACATCAAGAGAGACCTCGGAGGTCGGCACTGCTCTAACACACACAACACTCCTTTGTTGTTTTGTTTCTGAGACAGGGGTCTTGCTATATGGCCCTGGGTAGCCTGGAACTTATGTAGACCAGGCTGGCCTTGCTGTGATCTTTCTGCCTCTGCCTTATGAGAGCTCCGATTCCAGGCACGTGCTTCCATACCCCGTGCACAGTAATTGCTTAATAATTCATCGATTATACTATTACAGGCTCCATTTTACAAAGCATGGAGTTGCAGCTTTTCGCCCTAAGTACAAATGCCTCACAGCATTTGCAGCACCGATAGCCTGGCTCCAGAGGTTGTATTGTTAACCACAACCCCCCGCACATTTCCTTAAGTTAATACCAAGAAGGAGGGAGGGGAGGGAGGGGAAGAATGGAGAGTAGAGGAGAGGCGAGAAAAAAGAAGCAGAGGGCAAAATAAATGGAAGCCATGGCTGACACCAGTAGTCCCGTGGGCTTGTCCTGGCCCTCGGAAGACAGGGCCCTTGGGATTAGGCGCTATTGAGTCAGTGGTGCTTTCGACACCCTGGAAGAGGAGTGCCCAGGCTGTGTACCAAAGGACGTTTCTGTACAGTGTGGTAACTGTTAAACAGGAAAGTTCACCGGTGCTAGACAAAAATTCCTGTGTTCCCAAGCACATCTCACACGTGGAAAGTTACTGGGCGGCTGTGGCTGGGTGGTGAGGCTCAGGCTAATGCAGTCATTAACCGACGACTATGGATTCCATTGTTCAGTTTGCTCCCATAAAACTAACCTCGTTTTTTATGAGGCTGTTCTGCAAAAATTGAAATTTAAACAAATCTCTATCGTTGCTAGGTTTGGTCTGTTTTACTTTAAGGTCTGTAAAACACGTAGGCTAAACTTTAAATAGAAAGGTTTAAGCCCCGTGATTAAAAATATTCTACCACTAAATTATTTTAAAATTTGCTTTGAAGTTTTCACAATAGAACGGTTGAGGGATTCCATTAAAATGTGCAGACGGATGACTAAAATTTTTCCACGCTTTATCATAGCACCAAACGGCAACCATGAGAAAGAAACGGCTTGATCCCGAAAGCGTTTGCCGAAAGCAAGTGCCACAGAGCCCCAACAAGCGCGTCCCCAGGAATTCCGAGTTCTGGTGGGACTGCGCGGCCGCAGCAGTTGGGGGAGGGGTGTCCTCTGGGTGGGAGGTCTCGTCGAGTCCTGGACCCTAAACCCGGGCAGACGGGAGAGCATTGGGACCGAAACCCAGTTCCTCGCGGTGTCCTGCCCGGCCTTACGCTGCCGGCTCCTCCCAGGTGAGGGTGGATGCCGCCGGGGTAGCCTGGGTGCGCTCTGCTGGGTGCAGGACTAGAGGAGCTCAAAACACAAAGCAAGCAGCCGGGTGAGGGGCGACCGCCCAGAGGAGCATACTCACTGCTGGGACCCGGGGTCCCCGCGATCCCCGCCGTGCAGCCGCCTAGGGTCAGCGCGAGGCGGCGCCTGGTCTCCTCGCCAACCCCGTGCGCCACAGCCCAGAGACCTGCCAATCCTATCCCGTTCCCCCTTGTACCGGGCACTTGAGAAAACCCAGCCCAGAACTCCGGGCAGCTCGCGTGGCGCCTGCGGCTGCGACTTTTCGGGTTGGGGGGGTAAGATGGCAGGGCCCGGGAAACAAAGGAAACTTGGGCCGGGTGGCGTGTGTGGCTCGCGTGCTCGCCCCGGGTCCCCTGTGGGAGTCGCCCGCCCCCGTACTCGCAGCCCGCCTCGGGGAACCCTAGCTCAGCCAGAACCCGGGGCGCCCGCCCACCTGCCGCGCTGGCCGCCCCGGGACATCCCAAGTCGCTCCGGGCTGGGTGCAGGCGGCGGGGGGGAGGGGGTGCGATAGCTGAGCAGGGGGGCGGGGGGCGGGGAGGCGGCAGGGGAGGAGGAGAGCACGGGTGGGCGGGCGCGGCACGTCACGGCTATTGTGGCTGTCCTGGTATATAAGGTCCCGCCGGCCCGCCGCGCTCCCCACCTTGCCTGCGTCCGCGCGAACGAGCAGATCTCCACGCAGCGAGCATCCAGAGAGTCGCGCCGCGCGCCGACGGAGCGGACATGGGCAGAGCGATGGTGGTCAGACTGGGGCTGGGGTTGCTGCTTCTGGCACTGCTCCTACCCACGCAGGTGAGACCCTGCGCTTGGTGTGGCACTGGGGCCGCGCCCTGGGGGCGTGTGCATGTGTAGGACGGGTGAAGTCCCTACCTCCGGCCGCGCACTGGGGTAGGGAAAGAATTTTGTGTAACTGACTCGGGGAATCCGCGATGTGGATTCTCTAGAGAGAGCGCCCCCTCCCCTCCCACGGAGGGTCTTCGCGCTCGCAGCGAACCACACAAAGAGAGGGGACGGTCCCCTTCGGGGAGCGTGGCACACGCCAATCCTCCACCGTCCAAACTGGTTTGGGGATCGCCCAGAAAGTCCTGGCAGTGGCTCTACCTCCCACCCGAGTCCTCAGTCCTGAAGCTTGGGTAGGGACTGCCCGACGCCACAAACTCCCACGGTGCGACCTCACTCCTCCATCCCTGGCCACCTTAGGGGCTCCATCTCAGCCTAGACCCACTATCTCTAGGGAGGCCGAGCGGCAGGACTTTTGTGTCCCGAGTCTCCGTCAGGCTTTGTCCTATTCCACCGTGGCTTCCTCTTTAGATCTGTCCCGGGAACAGATCTCATCCCCTACACCGAGGGTGGCGCTGCTCTGGCTGCGTCGGCTAGAGGGTGAAAGCGCCGCGCCCAGAAGAAGACTTGGAGCTGAGACCAGGGCGGGACTCGGAGACGCAGCCGGTGGCTTTCCACAGCCTTCCGTTCGCTCAGGAGTGTCTCCTGGGCTTCGCCCCTGAAAAGTTGGGCGCGCCAGGTCCTTGGTCCCTAGACATCCAGGCTCTTGGCTCACCTGGGAGAGCAGCCCAAGAGCTTGGTGCGCGCTAGTCTTCTCCACGGTGGGCAGGGTAACTGTACCCCATTGTCTTCTTGTTGTGGATTGCTGTGCCCGGGGGCCTTTCTCAGTACCCCTCCCCCCGAGGAGGGGCTCGGCCTCTAGAAACCGGCTGGTCTCACCCAGATTCCCTTGTCCCCAGTGCCCCTCCCCCATCGAAATGTTAAGAGAGGTTTTGGTTAAGCAAATCAAGGAAGCTTGGTGGAGAAAATTCTTAAATGCCGACTTAATAATTAACATTTAACCTTAGACTTTCAGCTTGGTGCACTCGGCTCTTTATCATTTTTTTTGTCACCTGCTGTACAGTTACCTTTGTGTACCCCGAGACAGGCTCCCTGTTTTAAACAATTTAACATAGAAACCCACTTTCTGATAGGACAGGCTCTGTCTTACACACAGTAGGCGCCAGTAAGTGTAACTGACTGGACCAGGATTTTGTGGTGGGCAGTCTACTTTGGTTACAATCTGTACATTTCTTTAGTCAATATTTGCTTAATGACCTTACGAGTGTAGAACAAAAGGAGTTAGTGCTGATGTAGGAGGGTTTATCTTTGGATCAAGGGGCGGCCGAATAAACGTGTGGCTAGACTCTTTACTTGGTGCCACGTCGTCCTCTTGCCTGTAATCGGAAGCTCTCCGCCAGCCCTGGCAAACCCTCCTTTTCAGTGAGGGCTGAAAACTCGGCTCAGCCTTTGTTCCATGACAAAGGAGAGTATCACGTGCCTCTCTGGACTGTGCTTTTTGTGGCTCGGGAAACCAGCGGTGAATATGCCACTAGGATGCTGGGACACAAGGGGAAGCCTTGGTTCTGGGCCACAGCGCAGAGCTGGTGAATTTAGCTCCAAACCCTGCCTTTTGTGACGGTGGAATGCTTTAACTGAAGTCCTCCAGCCTTAGAGCAAGGATTCTACAACATTTTTGAAATTTCGATGAAAGTCATCATTAATAACCTCTGGTGCTTGTGGTCAAACCCAAGAGCCTACACATGCTAGCAAGTGTATACTAATGCAATTATACATCCCTAGGTGGTTAGCTTCCATTTTTTCAATTGAAGATAAACATTGTGGCCAGTTTTGAGAAGGGTTATAATGTCAAGTTTTCAAAGGAACAGATGGGGATACACAATGCCCTTTTGCGTTTTAAATGTTAATATATTTCCTGGAGGTAATGGTTCCCAGGCTGTGATGGACTGTGCCCCAACAAATGCTAGTACCACAGACCTCAATCACCCCCAAGTGTGCACACCCCTCATATTATATACAAGGTTTCTTGTTTGTTGTGTGTTTTTTTTTTTTTTTTAGATAAGTACTATTGTATAGCCCTAACTGACTTAGAATTTGGTTTTTAGATCAGGCAGGACTTGAACTCAAAGAGACCCGCTTGTCTCCGCCTCCTCCTGAGCACTGGGTTCAAAGTGTGTGCCACACACAGGTTTTGTTTTCTTGAGGAAGAGTCTAGCCATAAAATCCAGGCTGGCCTTAAGTTCTAGATCTCTGTTTCAAATCCTGTGGTTACAGATCTGAGCCACCAGCTTGGCTCAATTTTAAAATGCTCCCTTGTCTAGGGTAACAGGAAACCGTGCTGTAATGCTAGCAAATCCATGTAACGTCAGAAAACACACAAAGCAGGTCTTTCCTTACATTATGCTGAATTAGAAACAGTTCGGTTCTTGGCACTTATGTAGTCCAGAGAACTCTTTGTTTTTTGAGACAGGGTTTCATGTAGCTGAGGCTGGCCTTGAACTCTTGATCCTCTGCCTCAACCTTCCGAGTGCCGAGATGATGCATCACCACCAGGCTTGAAGAACTTTGATTGTTGCTATTTGTATTCTCTAGGTACCTACATATGCAGCTCTAAAACTGAAGAACCATTTTGGTGAATGATGTAGCTGCGAGAACAATGGGAAAAAGCAGTCTTAGGGTGGGTCAGGGACTGGGGGGTGTAGTTCAGTGGTGGAGCTAATCCTTAGCATCCCTAAGTTCCTGTGTTTGTTTTCTTCTACTGCGGCAACAGAGACTATCATCTGCTTTAGTGTTATTGCAGAGTGTAAATGAAGCTAGCTGTGGGCGATTCTGAAAATTTGTTTTTTTTAAATGTATTTCAGATTTATTGCAACCAAACATCTGTTGCACCGTTTTCAAGTAACCAGAATATCTCTACTGCCCCAAATCCAACCAATGCCACCACCAGAGCAGGTGCCAGTGCCCTGCAGTCAACAGCTGGTCTCCTCGCCATCTCACTTTCTCTCCTACATTTCTACTGTTAGAGACTCAGGCCAAGAAATGTCTCTACTTCCCCATCTTCCAGACCCAGCCCAAATGGTAACCACAAGTCCAGTGTGACCCGGAAGAAACAGGTCCACATCAAATCTACTATTGCCGCACCTCAACAGAAAACATTGAGAATTCATGTGAAGGTATTATGACAGATGATGAACACCAGTATTGAATCTGATGGAGTTTTATGTTCAAGATGAAGAGATAACATCCAGTGTTGACGACGTGATTTCCTTGAACGAGGCTTAAGAAATGTGGACGTTTACTCTATCTTTAAATGAAGCATAGGATTTATGTAGAGATAAGGATGGGATGTGGGATGAAGATTCAGTTTTCATTGGCTCATTACCTGTGAGGCTATAACACAGCTAGGTGATATTAAAGGTTTCTCTGATGCTATTTATGTATATGTTGGAAGGAACTACCAGGTGTTACTTTAAATCCTCAATGTATTGTTTCATTACTACTAATTTAATATGCTAAACTCTAGGTAAAGTTCCACATTGTTGAGCTGTTCTCTTTGGAACTGAACATTTTACCCCCTCCGGTGGCTTTAAGTTCAACATTATATATGACCTTTATTAGTAATTGGCATGTGCCAGGCAACTATGGATTGGAATCCACCCCCAAATCCAGTCATCACGAATAAATCTTATTTCAAAAGTCAAATAGTAGGCATTTTCCATCATCTTTTTTCACTCAACAAGAGTGCCAGGTTCACTTAACTGGTTCCAGACAGCAGAATTACATTGACCTCAGCCAACTTCAATCACTGCTTTTTTTTCTTCGTATGTTGAGGGTTTTCATGATTTAAGGTGTGGTCTGTTAGGAAGGTAAAATTATGAATCTTGAAATCCTGAAGACAAATATGCAAAGGAGCCAAAACCATAAACCTAGTATTTGGGACATGAAGACTGGACGATAACTTGCATTGAATTCACAAAGTCTTTTATACAATTTCTGTAAATACTTTTTTTAAAGAGAAAAACAAAACAATGGATCAGAATAGCCACATTTGGAATACTTTGGTTATCAGTTCATATTTTAGATAGTTTGACATTGGTCCTGTGCCTGAAAGGGGGTTTGGTTCTACAGTTAAGTTTTTCTGACTGCCTTGATGCACACATACCTTCTATAACATAGAAAAATCTTTTGTTCGCATGGTCACACACTGATGCTTACACATTCTGGGATCTAATATGGCCACAGCAGTCTTGATAACCAGAGTCACTTTCTCCATCTTTAGAAACCTACCTGGGAACAAGCTACTGTGTGTGTGAATGAACATTCCCTCCCACCTCCTACCTGAATGCTGTACATCTATTTGATTGTATATTGTGTTTGTGTATTTATGCTTTGATTCATAGTAACTTCTCATGTTATGGAATTGATTTGCATTGAACACAAACTGTAAATAAAGGAAAGAAATGGCTGAAAGAGCAGTCTGCTGAATTGTTTTTTCAAGATAGTGTTTCTCTGTATAACAGTCCTGGCACTTGCTTTATAAACCAGGCTGGCATCAAACTCACAGAGGTCTGCCTGCCTCTGCTTCCCAAGTGCTGGGATTAAAGGTGTGCACTACTAACCACCTGGCTGTGTCTGTTGGATT